TTTTTTTTTTTTTTTTTTTTTTTGTCACATTGAAATGTGCTCTTTGTGTCTTCAGGTCAACCCAAGGACAGGACTGAGAAATTAAACTACACCACACTATCATCTCACAACAGCTTTTCAAAATATGTTAATAAGCATTTTCTAAATTTCAACTGGATTTTTGTTCTAACCTTGTAATTGAGTGTGTTCGACTCCAGATTGAGGTCATCTCAGCTGGCAGAGCTAAAAAAACGTTACTGACTGTAAAAAGCCGCTGTTTGATTTTATGATTCTTTTTAGCATATTTATAGTTTAAAAAAAATCAGAAGTTACTGTGTGGATTCTTGAGGAGAAGGCTTTATGACAAGTCTAGAGATTTATTCTTATCCTGTAACTGTTAGGATGAATTCAGGTGTTTGTAGTAAAGAGTAGTCATGAGGGGATTTTTGTTTGAAACTGTAAAACAAACGAGCACAAGCTGTCAGACGTTTATTGTTGTTAATCTCAGCACGYCGTGGTTTTGGCAGAAACAGAACAGAACTAAACTACGGGACTGTCACTGCCTGTGTTGAGCAAATTGGTTTTAAATGATTTCTTTTTGATGTGACCAAACTGTGAATATTTCATCACGATGTTTCTTCCACCTAGGTTTGTACACTTGTAAAGCACTAAAGTAGTTAAAGAGTTATATCATTGTTTCTAGTGTGTGCATTAAAATAGCAGTTGTTTTAGCTGTAAACATGGTTTTACTTTGGTTATGTTAGGTGACAAAAACGGAATGCTGTACATTTTAGAGAACGGCTGTTTTTATTAGGGTTGGGCAAAWTCATACTGTGTGCAAATAGTTATAAAAAACTGTCTATATTTACCACTTTGCAGTTAGTGCAGTTAGTGCCCTGTGATGACGACAGCTGGGTGTGATGCACTCCCACTATCAGGCRTGCATGTGAGCCCRGTGGTGGAAGGCATCGTGGAGCAGCTAATGCTAACACTAACCCTACAAACTGAGATAAACCGGAGTAGAGGAGGAACCTGAATATTCTCTCCATCACTACATACTGTACAAGTGCAGTTGTCATCTATTAATCACCGTATTTATCGTTATTGGCTAAACACCACAATTAATCTTGATAAATATTGATGCTAATAGTGCCCAACCCTAGTGTTCATACAGATCAGTAACCACGATGTTAAACTCTAAAATATTCACAAATCTTAATATCCATAACAGTTATTTTGTTCTTGTTTTCTCTGTTGCTGTGTTTTGAAAATTTATTTAGTTTTGGGCAAAAATAAATGATTTAAAATTATCGCTGATGAGATTTTGATATTTTATTTTTCTTGTATCCAACAAAGATTAACATTTATAAGCATACTGTAAATAAACTGAAATGATTTAAGATATTGTAGTAAAAAACAATTCTAAATAAGACTGAAAACAACTTGGACATCATTTTAGGAAAGACTGAATAATCTTGGTGCCTTTTTCTTTTATTTGGAAACTTCCTGCTCGAGCCATTTCCATGTTTTCTTTTGGTGCTGTGATTTTTGTGTTGTACTGTTGTAAACGCTCACCTGAGCCAGCTTTAGGTGATTGACAGAGCTCTCCTCTGTGTGCTCTTTTTCACTTTCTGAATTAGTATTTTCTGTCCACTGTGCCTTCCTCTGTTACAAAGGTTAGTTGTCTGTCTGGTCACTCTACCATTACAAATCTGAGATCAGGTGTTCTCTCATACTTTACACTAATAACTTTTAAATGTTACAACAAAGCCTGCCTTGTTTAAAATGTCTACTGAGTGTCATGCGTAGACAAGTCAAAGGTGAGTCATATTTGTGGTTTTGCAAATGTGTTGTTTTCCTCTCCTGTCTGTCAATAACTTTTTTCCCCTCAGGAGTTCAGGCTGCTGCTGTTCAGTCACTGCATGAAATCTGGATCCAGTTTTCCATTCAGTGTCACTGTGATGACAGTCGCTGGATGGAAAACCAACAAGGCTCTGACAGTAGAAAAACTGTTTACTGTAAAGATGTTTTCAGCAGACGGTTTATTCCAACAAGAGAACTGAGCTCAGTGCTGTGAACGCTGTGACTCTTTAACCCAGTGTGACATAATGCAAAACGTTTAATGCTGAAACCTGAGACAGGAAACAGATATGGCTCAGATAAGGAGTCCTTACTGACATTTTAGAAGCTGGAAACTGAATTACCACGTTGACACACTGCAGCAAATGTAGGCCACAAAATCTCCTTCAAATACTAATCACAAATATAAAAAGTCCATAATTACCTGTCTAAAYCTGTAGAATAAGGACAAAAAAATCTGAAGATTTTGTAATAAACATCTATTGATGTTTACTGATGAGCGTTTTTTTTATTTATTTTTTTTGTACATACTTTCAGTCCAGTTTGTAAATCAAGTAACTGCTAAAACATTTCCAAACAAGTACGTCAGTCTTTCCTGCACGCTTTGCTTTCCTGGAATGGGACTGCTCAGACCGACTCATGATTGTTTTCACCAGAGCTTTCTGTTTGCACCAAATAAATTATTTGCTATAAGTTTTCAGCTTGTTGTTATGATATGTGACAGTATAATTTCTTTAAAAGATTTCTATTATTAACTGAGCCATTTGAATGTAGTGTTTCTAAGCGTTTGAGACAGGTGCATTGAGCGTGCAGGTAGTTTGTCGCTTGGCCACTAGATGGCAGTAAAAGCTAAAGTCATAAAGATCATGTTCAGCAGCGGTATTAATATTACACCTGCTTGGCAAAGAGAAATACACCGACCATATCAGTCAAATTCTTTATTTTTTTTTTTCATATTGCTTTCTCATGTATATATATGTAATCCCCTGGCTAATATTTTTTGTTCATGTTTTGAAAAAAAAGTTTTTCTAAATGTTCATTTATCAATAAAGGTTGGAAGAAAATAAAATAAATTACACCAGCTGTTCTCTTTCTAAGCATCGATTCATTCGTTTGATTTCTAATATTTAACAATAAAGTAGAAGTAACTAGAGAATTTGCATTTCCTACGAAAATGCAAGGGTGAATGCCTGTTGCGCAAAACATAAGCTAAA